TATATAAAGTATGAATATTTTGCAAAAACACTTTTATTTGCAATAACTGCTTCATTGCATTGTGGCATGCTTGCAATTTATTTTTTATAGTTTCTTTCAACTCTGGGTTATTATGCTAGATCTTGATAATCTCTTCCATAAGATCTTGCTTATTAGTAAGATTTTTTTTTCCAATCTCTTGCTTTACTATTTCCCAAATGTTTTCTATGGGGTTAAGATCATGTGAGTTGTCTGGCTATAGCAATACATTAACTAAGCCATAACAGTTTTTATTGTGTTGCAAGTTACACCATCTTGCATAAATATAAGATTTTTGACATTATTTTTAATTTTTTTTGTCAATTTTTGACTGGTTTGGCTGGACATCAATCCCTCTTCTTTTAGCCTTCTACAAATGGTCCGGTCTGACACAACAATTACAGCTTCATGGATAAGCTTAGTGGCTTTTTTCTGTTTTCCAGGCAGATATTTCTGATTATACTGTCCGCTTTTGGTGTTTTCTTGCGTTTAGAAGGTGGTCTCCTTGGACCAAACTCTTCCCCTGTATCAATTCTTTTTCTTACTTGCATTACGGTTTGGTAAGAAACCTTTGCGGTTTGTGCAATTTTTCATTGAGAATAATTTGTATTTTGTAAAAGACATGTTTATCAATTTTTAATGTAACTATAATAATAATAACAATGTATAATGCAGGTTGTTAACCAATGGTTTATAATCAAAATTTAATATGGCTGGCGGTAAAGGTAAAGAGAAGTTTAAAGGAACAAACATTCGGTATTTACTTGTAAGTTATGTGTAAAATTATATATTTTTTAAAAATCACAGTTCGTTTTTTTAATGCTAATTTATTTTTTTAACTTTTTGATGTATTTGATGTAAATTACTCAGGCAATACCTTTTTTATAGAGGGCGTTTTGTCAACTAAAATGACTGCTACAGTTGCCGAAATAAGAAAATGAATAATGACTCGACAGATCAGATGGTGGTGGTCGGCGCGTAAAAGTCGATTCACCCGATGTATAAAATTCATACTTTTTTCTAGTTGTTCTGGAACTATTGATAATAGTTATTATTGATAGATTGATAAATATATTACTGATAAACAAAACTTTTTTTTTTCAAACATTTTACTTTATTTGCATTGTATATAAAGTCCGTTGAAGCAATTTAGTTGTATCTGATTAATTTACGTGAAATATAATATTTTTCGCGCAAATTGTTGCTTTTTTATTGTGTTAATTTATTGCAATTAAAATTGAGATAATTTTTTAGTTAATTGGATTTACTAAAATAAAAAACAAAAGTCAACGTTGAATTTACGTTGTTTCAACGTTGTTCTAACGTCTTATCGACTACGTTTCAATTGAATATATCATCTATTCAAAGTTGAAATATGGTTGATATGTAGTCGATAAGACGTTAGATCAACGTTAAAACAACGTAATCATCGACGTTGTTTCAACGTCGTAGTTTTTGACGTCGGATTTTATTTCCAATTCAACCAAATTTCAACATTGTTTCAACGTGGCATATGGTCGGTTTACGACGTTGTTCCAACGTTATTTCAACGTCATTGTGCCTGCTTGGAAGAGTAGACAATTTTTTGTCTGGCTATTTTCTGTAGGGTAACTTAATCGAACCTCGCCCACATCCAATTGATGTTGACAGGGTATTATTAGACTTGCACAGCTGAACTATACATTATTAAATAGCTTATTCCTTCAGCTACAAAACTATGTAAAATTATTTAGATTTTATGAGAGTAGTTGACTGTAATATTATAAATTATACAGTGGTGCAAAAGCACTGGTTCTCGCACACGTGAACTCTCCATGTTGATTTAAAGTTGCCCACTGTGTAAGTTAAAAAAGAACTTATACTTGCGTAGGGCGACGTTATATACAGGTTAGTGAGATTAAATCTTGTTAGTTAATTTCAATTGCACTATTTTAATTAGAAAAGTATAAAACCATGGGGTTTTTATGAATGCGAACTTTCTCCCTAGATTCTGACTTGAATCTGGGTTCTGAGATCTTTCTCAAGATCAACTAATGTTTGCAATTCAGATGATAATGAACTTCTTTTTTGTTGTTGCTACCCCCCAGTGGCCACACAACGTTATTTCAACGTTGATTTACGGTTGATTTTCAGTCGCGACGTCGTATAACCAAAAATCAACATTGTATCAACGTTGAAAATTTGTTTAAAACTATCAAAATAAAATCGACGTTAATTCCACGTTAATTCAACGTCTATATTACGAGTTCGACCGTTCGTATTGCATTTTGAGAACTCAAATACGCATGCGTGATTTTAATAGATATTTATAAGGCCTTCTGTTGCCTTTTTATAAGGTTTTAAATTTGACAACTTAACAATATCATTTGGCTTGACTTGTGATGCAGTTAGTTAGATAAATATTAAAGAGATATTTTTTTATGACGGTAATATTTCATATATGTATATGTGTGTATGTGTGTAAGTATGTATGTATGTGTATGTATATATGTATGTATGTGAGTAATGTATGTGTGTATATGTGTATATAGGGTTGCCATATGGTAATCACTGAAAAAGAGGAGATTATACACAATTGCGGGTTTTAGGGAGGGGGGGCATGGGTAGAAGCCTCCCCCTGAGAACTTTTTTTTAAAAAATTCTTTTGTAAATTGACTATTATACAGAATTAGACTACTATACTGACAAATAAAATTGACTAATATACGTAAAGTACAAAAAATTAAAAAAAAATGAAAAATGAAAATATGCAGACTTTTTTGTTGTTGACCTTTTTAGCCCCCTTTTACAATAATAAAATCGCCCCTGATTTTACAATACGTGTTAAATGAATGAGAGTTCTTATTATTTAACGAGGCATTACCAGAGTAGACACCTTTTATAAGAATTAAATAAATTACAAACCTTTTTTTTTAAATGTCATTTGTTTTTTTAACACAAATTGCTGGTTTTGCAATTAAAGTTAAGCTAATTTTAATTGCAAAATGTTCACATTCAATTTTATTGCTGTCTTACAATTATTGATTCTTGAAGAATTAAGTCTTATTAGTTATTATATATTATAATATACTATACTATATAAATGCAAGCCAACAATTATTCCTCCATTATTTAACTTGTCTCTATTGTCATCTTGTAACCATTGTTTACTTGTGTCTAACTAATCACTTGAATCAGTTATCCGTTTCACAGTTTCCGACCAATCATTTGTTAAAACAGAGCAAGAATTATGGACGGGGGAAAATGAATCATACCAATTATACTTTTTTGTTTAACTTATCTTTTACAAAAAGTTTTTGTTTGATTATAAAAACTTATTGAATTTATAAGTTTGAAAACTGGTCATGGCTCAATGATTTATTAACATTAAAAAGGGGCTTTTTTGTTTACAATTAAGTCTTTAAATTGATCCCAATAAGGGTACTGTCAAGTTTCATTTAACTTAAAGCTTTTAACTCTTGTTATTGAAGCTAATAACAGGTCAAAGGTTACATAACTTACATAATCTTGGCTTAAATATGATTGTAAGATGAATTAGATAAATAAAATTAACATAAAATAATTTGTTTATCTTTGGTAGAAACATAAATGAATGATCCAGCTGGGAAAATTTTGAATTTGGCTTCACACTCATTCCTCTTTTTCTTAAACTAGAAAACATTTTTTTAGACAAAATTATTCAGAGTGCAGCAGTTCTTTTACTTTAAAAACTTTAAATTAAAGAAACTATCTCTTGTGTAGCAGCAACCAAAATACTTTATTAACTTAACGTAATTTATTGATCACGACTTTCGTTTTCGCAAGTTTAGATGCGCGCGCATTTTTCAATATTGTTTAATCAAGAGAAGAACACGTGCTGTGTGAGCATTTTCAATAAATTTTTAGTGACTAAAAACATTTTACATTTAATAGTTTTTACATTTTCAGTTCTACACATTTAAGTATTAAAATTTAAGTATTAAATATCAAATTTTTATAAAAATTAAATAAAAACCTCCAAAAAGAGGAGATTTCATGTTTTTTTCAAAAAATCCCCCGGAGCCTTATTTTTTGCCTTAAAATCTGGAGATCTCCGGGCAAATCCGGAGATATAGCAACCCTATGTATATATATATATATATATATATATATATATATATATATATATATATATATATATATATATATATATATATATATATATATATATATATATATATATACATATATATATATATATATATATATATATATATATATATATATATATATATATATATATATATATATATATATATATATATATATATATATTCAAAATTTAAATTTAATATTGCATTAAACCTTAAAATTAGTAGGCATATATAAAACAACACTATACGGATTAAAAAAATTAAAAAAAAAATCCTTTATTTACTTAACTTTCTACTAACTTCTTCCTTCTTACTAATAATGCAATATTATCTTATCTTTGATATCATTACTTTGCTTATTATTATACCTAACTTTGATATTATTAATAATATCAATGTTAAGTATAATAATAAGCAAAGTAATGATATCAAAGATAAGATAATAATGCTTTATTAGTAAGAAGGAAGACAAAGTTAGTAGAAAGTTAAGTAAATAAATTTTTTTTTTTTAATTTTTTTTTTAATTTTTTTATAAATAATATCAATGTTAAGTTTAATAATAAGCAAAGTAATGATATTAAAGATAAGATAATAATGCTTTATTAGTAAGAAGGAAGACAAAGTTTGTAGAAAGTTAAGTAAATAAAAGATTTTTTTTTTAATTTTTTTTTAATTTTTTTAATCCGTATAATGTAATATTTATTAATATAAATATCACACTATACTTATAATAACTATTATTGCTTCTAATTCTAATTTACTACTTTGTTATGATGCCTTTTATGTTATCTATATACATATATATATATATAAAAGCAACCTAAAATAATTTAATTTTTTTGCTTGTTACATTCTCATTATTGGAGGTTTTTTAAACCGGCTATAAGATAGTAAAGGAATGTAGTGAAGCCAAAAATATTCTCTCTTTTTTTAAAAAAGTCACCACTTAAAGCTTTTTATGTCTCTTCGCGAGATCACAACAAGCGAAAAAATAAAACTATTTTAGGCTGCTTAACTGCAGATTTACTGCTTTTTAACAATCCATGTGATTCAAAGGGTTTGACACTTGAATTTCAATATAATTTTCACTAAGCAGTTATATAATGTATAAGTTAAAGTTGTATTTTTAAAGTTGTTATTTTACACTAACAAATATTTTATGTATGAGTATAAAAAGTGTTGTTTTAAAAAATAAATTTTTCCTGTTTAAAAAGTATAGTTGAGCAAGCAAACTGTACATCCGAGCTGTTTGGATAGAAAATAAAGAGAAATAGAGAGAAAATACTATTGATAGTTTTTTCTGTTAGTCATCATCATTAAGTGTAATAAATTATTTCAATGAAATGCATGAACCGCAGTCTAACTAATACATATTTAAGCTGCTCAATATTAAATGTTGTGGAGATGATGTAATTTGTTTTTTATAAACATTAAATCATTACTTTTTTTACTTGTTTCTTATTATTGTATATGTTGTTGTTAGTGTTTAAGATATATTCTTTATTATATAATATATTTAAAACATAGTTTTAAATTGAATGAATATTCTTATCATGAGTTATGTGATAATTTTGAAATTGCCACTACTACTGATACTTAAATAGAATCAGAATCAGAAAGTGTTTAAATATTAAGTTTCTAACTTAAGATTTAAACTTAAGTTAGAAACTTAATTCAAGTATTATTAGTTTTATTTTGATAGTATTTAATATAGGAACCACTACTGTTCATATGCAAAAGAAAATACAATCTAACGAAAAATAACCAACAGAATAGTAAGCAAGTACCTACTCCTATAACGCAAAAAAAGAAAAAGAAAACAACTTTTATGCATACTCCGCATACTATAGTTCAAGGTATTGATTGTCTGTCTGCAAGTTGTTTTAGAAAGAAAACGTTTTGAATGTTTTTTTTCTATGCTTTTACAAACTTTATTGGTTGTTAAATAATATATTTTATTTACTTTATTAACGTTTTAAAGTTATTTTTTTATTGTTATTTGTTATGACATTTTATTTCATTGGTATGACATTTATTTTATTATAGCATTTAGCAAAAGTTGTTTTATTTCTAGCATTCTAGCATTGATTATTTTTTTACGTGGTTGATTGCCAAGGTGGCGTGTGTGTTCTTCCACATAAAAGAAAAAAGTTTGTTTAACCAGACACATCTGCATTTGTTCCCCTTATAAGAAAAGCTACTAAAAAAGATTCCTTATCGAATGGAAAGTCTCCCATTACTGAGGAAGGTATGTGAAATATTTGATATTTATTTTGGTATGCATTCATTTTATTAATTAGTAAAAAAAGCAAGTGATTATCTTTAAGCCATTAAAAGAAATATATTTTTTCAAAATCCGATAATTTTGTTTATTTAATAAATAGATATTTTGAAATAGTGTATTTGGTTCTTGTGTTTCAATGCTTTTAGAAATTAACTAATGTTTGGTTCTTTTGTCTTACTGTTATATCTTTATTATTAGAATTTCAGAAGAAAGTTTTAAATGCACTGGTAGAAATGAAAGAGATGTTAGTAAAGCTCTTTCCAGTAATTAAAATAATATCACGACCAATAGTTCTGATATTTTATGGATGATTTTGAAGCAGTCATTTAGTGATTATAATGACAGTTTTAATGATTTTTGGGTGAGGTCTGAAGTGAGGTTATTTCAAATCATGACTTTTTGCAACTTTTTTATTGCTTTTTTGGGATTTTGTATTTGCTTAAGTTAATCTACTTGTAACTTTTTATAAATGTACTATAAAAATAATGTAATGTAATTATTTTCTTAACCCTTTAGGGATTATGATAACAGTTTATACGGGCGATGTCTGAAGTGGTAATTTTTATTAAACCATTACTTTTTGTATTTTTAAACTATTACTTTTTGCACTTTTTTTATATATAAGTTAATCTACTTTTAACTTTTTATATATGTATTATAAAAAGAATGAGGTGTAATTATTTTCTTAACCCTTTAGGTTAACAAACTTTCTAAAATCAGAGGTAAGACAAATACAAAAAATGTGAATCAAAGGTTAGTTAAAATTAGTTTTAAATAAAAAACCTTTTGAATCTTGTTAAAGTTTGTTTTAAAAATATGTTTAGCTTATCTCTAAAAGTTTGACAAATTCTAATCAGACATCAAATAAATCTTTTTTTTTATGTCAGATTAGAAATTTTTTTTTGAAATGTTTTTTTTTTTTTTTTTTTTTTTTTTGCATTGAGCTAAAGAACAACTTTAATGCAAAAAGGTTGTTTTGTAACGCATACTTAACCTTTTTTTTTTCTATATATATACATATATATATGCACATAAATAAACATATATATATATATATATATATACATATATATATATATATATATATATATATATATATATATATATATATATATATATATATATATACATACATACATATATATACATACATATGAGTATATGAATATATATATATATATATATATATATATATATATATATATATATATATATACATACATACATATATATACATACATATGAGTATATGAATATATATATATATATATATATATATATATATATATATATATATATATATATATATATATATATATATATATATATATATATATATATATATATATATATATATATATATGTATATATATATATATATAAACATTTTTTTATTTAGTTAACTAAGGCAACACCTTTTTTTATAGAGAGCGTCATGTCAAGTTAAGCGACTGCTACAGTTGCCGAAATAGAAAAAGGAATAATGACTTTATCAAAATATGCACTCGACAGATCGAATGGTGGTGGTCGGTACAAAACAATATTCATACTTTTTCCTAATTGTTCTAAAACTATTGTTAAATAAAACTTTGTTTTTCAAACAATTTATTTTATTTACATTTTATATAAAGTCCCTAGAGGCAATTTAGTTGTATCTGATTAGTTTACGTGAAATATAATATCCTCTGTGCAAATTATTGCTTTTTTATTGTGTTATTTTATTGCAATTAAAGATGAGATAATTTTTTAGTCAATTGGATTTTAACCAAAATAAAAAACAAAAATCAACGTTGAATTTACGTTGTTTCGACGTTGTTCTAACGTCGTATTAACTACGTATCAACCGAATATCACCTATTCAAAGTTGAAATATGGTTGATATGTAGTCGATATGACTTTAGAACAACGTCGAAACAACGTAATCATCGACGTTGTTTCAACGTCGTAATTTTCAACGTCGGATTTTATTTCCAATTCAACCAAATTTCAACGTTGGCATATGGTCGGTTTAGGATGTTGTTTCAACGTTATTTCAACGTCATTGTGCCTGCTGGGCCAGCAGGCACAAAGGCGTTGAAATAACGTTGAAACAACGTCGCAAATCGACCATATGCCACGTTGAAACAACGTTGAAATTTGGTGGAATTGGAAACAAAATCCGACGTTGAAAAATCCTACGTTGAAACAACGTCGATGATGACGTTGTTTTCTTTGAATAGGTTATATATTCGGTTGATACGTAGTTGATAAGACGTTAGAACAACGTTGAAACAACGTAAATTCAACGTTGACTTTTGTTTTTTAATTTGGTTAAATCTAATTAACTAAAAAATTATCTCAACTTTAATTGCAATAAAATAACACAATAAAAAGGCAATAATTTGTGCAAAGAATATTACATTTCAAGTAAATTAATCGGATACAACTAAATTGCTTCAAGGGATTTATACTCAATGCATATAGAGTAAAATGTTTAAAAAAAAAAATGTTTTATTTAACAATAGTTCCAGAACAATTAGGAAAAAATGTTATACGTCTAGTTAATCGCCTTTTACGCGGCCACCACCACCATTCGATCTGTCGAGTGCGTATTTTAATAAAGTGATTATTCTTTTTCTTATTTCGGCAACTGTAGTAGTCGCTTTAATTAACATGTTGCTCTCTATAAAAAAAGATATTGTCTGAGTAATTTGCATAAAATACATAAAAAATAAATATAAAACAGCATCAAAGCAACGAACTCTGATTTTGAAAACCCTTTTTTTTTTTTTTTTTTTTTTATCATCTTCGCTTCCAACAAGGCTGTAAGCAACCACTAATTAGTGTAAGAAGTTACTGGAAGAGAAAAGATGAAGATTTTAGAGCAAGATAACGATTAACAGACCACTTAAAAGATTGGAAATTATATGAATCAGGAAAGCAAGATGAAGGAAGCGAATTCCAAAGAACTGATGTTCGAGGAAAAAAAATGGACGAATAAGAGTTTTTGGAGCACTTAGGAACAGTAACAGAAAAAGGATGAGACTTGATTGATTGACGAATAACACGAAAATTAATTTTAGTAAATGGCACAAGAGACGCTAGCTCTTTCGAGCAGTGCCCATTATAGTATTTGTAGAAAAGAGAAAGAGAAGCAACATTACAACGATGTGACAGAGGTTGAAGGTTGGCTGAAAGAGCAGGTCCAACTATGTTAACAATGCGTTTTTGTACCTTGTCGAAAAGAGAAAGGGCATCATTAGAAGATCCGCCCCAGATATGGCAAGAGTATTCCATACAAGGCCGGATTTGAGATTCATATAGATAGAGAATAGAATCCAGAGTAAGAAAGTGACGAGCTCGATAAAGAGATGCAACTTTAGCACATGCTAATTTTGCAACGGATTTGATATAAGGTTTCGAAGAAAGATCTGAAGTAAAAGTTAATCCTAGAAGATGAAGGGTAGGAGACTCATCGAGTACATTACCGTTCATAAATATAGGAAGTTCTAAACTATTGCGATAACGATTGGTCGAAAAAAAATTGAGTTTTATCTGAGTTAAAATTCACGAGCCATTGTGAGCCCCATGCTGTTGCAGAAGTGAGATCCTTTTCAAGCTCAGATGCCCCCTGCAAGCAATCAAAGGGAGTTGGCTTCTTATCGTGACAAGAATAAATGGTAGTATCATCAGTGAACAATACCACCTTAGATGTGAGAATATCTGGAAGATCGTTAATGTAAATTAAAAAGAGTATAGAACCAAGGATTGAATCTTGAGGAACCCCTGAGGTTACAGAATAAGAAGAAGAGCGCTGTCCATCAAGGACAACTTTTATACTACGATTGGAAAAGAAAGATTCAATAATCTTAAAGATGTTTCCAGATACACCGTAAGAAGGAAGCTTATGGAGAAGACCAGCATACCAAACTTTATCAAACGCTTTAAAAATGTCAAGAGCAATGGCCTTAACCTCTCCACCTTTATCTAATGCGCGATAAAACCTATCGGGTATTACTGATAGCAAATCAGCTGTAGAACGAGAAGATCGAAATCCATATTGATGATCAGAAAGTAAGTTATGAGATTAGAGATGAGAGATTAAGTGTTTGTTAATTAAAGATTCAAAAACCTTGCTTATGATAGGAAGAAGACTAATGGGACGGTAGTTAGGCGAATCGGATTGCTCTCCAGAATTTTAAAAATAGGGATAACAGATGCTGCTTTCCAGCAGGCTGGAAAACAAGACTCTGATAAACACTTGTTAAATAGTTTTAAAAGGATAGACGACAGCTCCGGAGAACACTTCTGCAAGACTATAACAGGTATGTTATCTGGGCTGCAAGCTGTAGAAGAGTCTAAGCGGGAAATCACTTTAGATACAGAAGCTGGCGTGATACGAATGTCGAGCAATGGATCAACCTGTTTGATGGCTATATCAGGTAGAACGAAACTAGTGGCATCAAGAGATGGTTTTGATGAAAAGTTCTTGGTAATCAATTCAGCTTTGTCTTTTGGTGAGGTGACGAAGTCTGAACCATACAAAAAAGATGGAATCACAGACTTGCCCTTATTATTAATACTATTAAAGATTCTCCAGAAGTCACGAGAACCTAATTTTTGTGATGAAATACGAGATTTCATGATCTGAGAATAGCAGGCTTTGGCATTAGACAAAACCTTTTTACAATAGTTCCTAGCAGTAATAATCAGACATCTGTTTTCTAGAGAATTGTTTTGCTGATAGATATGGAAGTAATGGTTTCGATTGGCAATTGCAGCAGCACAATGTGAGGAAAACCGTGGAGAAGAGTGAGGCTTGACCTGGCATCGTCGAGAGGGAATAAAGGATTCCATGCCAGCCTGAATCCACGAAGCTATGTAAGAAGCACATTTGTCATCAGGGAGACGAAAGATTTCTACCCAGGGGCCATCACGAAGAAAATCACGGAATGAGTCCCAGTCAGCTTTAAGGTAGTTGTAAGATGTACGATGATAGGGGGATTCTGATGGTAAAAGAGCATGAGAGTTTTAGAGTGACCAAACCATGATCAGAAGCACCTAAGGGTGAGTGTGAAGAAACTGAGCACTGACTAGGATTAGAAACAAGACATAAGTCGAGTATAGAAGGTAAATGATTTGGGTTGTCTGGAAAGCGAGTTGGAAAGTTGACTATTTGAGTTAGGGATTGAGAAAGACAAAAGTTGTGGGCTTTAGTGCCTGCAGAGTCACTGACACTAGAGCCAAGCCATTCAGTGTGATGAACATTAAAGTCACCGACAACAACAATATTGGCTGATGGATAAAGAAAGAGGGCTTGGTCAATATAATCAGAAATAACATCAAGAAGAGTGCAGTCTTGAGATGAAAGAGAGCGATATAGAACAAAGAGAAAGGTGATAGAGTGAAGTGGTGCTAAACGAAAGCACATAAAAGAGTAGTCTGTGGATTCAAACCTAGTTTCCCTACAAATTGGTGAATTCTTACAAATGTAAGTGCCTAGGCGAAGCATGTGACTATTGGAGTCTTTACAATTTAAAGGAAGATAACCATCAACACTAAGATCACAAGATGAGACAGCTGAACTCAAATTAGTCTCGCAAAGAGCAAGTAGGTCTGGTGAACTTTGCAAGAGATAAGACTCAACAAAAGAAAAGTTACTTCGAAGACCACGAATATTGGTGAATGATAGGTTTAGCAAATTTGGTGATGACTGTGGTTTTTTGTGTTTTATAGTTTTTGTTACTTTATTCATTTTTAAATTTGTTAAAGAACTTGACTCTAAACATAGATAGTACTCAGTACACTGTTTAATAGTCCAAGCAATTGCCTCATTTCCACTAATAAACCCTAAGCCGTAACAAAGGGCTCCAATGTGGCCTTGGCAATGCACACCAAAAGTAAAAACAGGGACACCATCCATGCGCAACATGGCACTGTTAGTATTCTGATAATTTTCAGCTGTTGATGGAATCAGCCTCTCTGAGAGCTACCACAGAGCTCGGGAAATCTGACTACCAGCCGGCCTCAGAACCATATAGTTTTACACTTGACTTACCACTAACAACCTTACAAATGTTTGTTCCTTCAAACTTCATAATTTATTCTTACCGCCAGCCTTATTATTTTTTGATTATAAACCATTTGTCAACAACCTGCATTATAGATTGTTATTATTATTATAGTTATATTCAAAATTGATACATTATATATATTATATATATATATATATATATATATATATATATATATATATATATATATATATATATATATATATATATATATATATATATATATATATATATATTTATATATATATATATATATATATATATATATTTATATATATATATATATATATATATATATATATATATATATATATATGTATTTTATACGCATATGTATGTATATAAATGTATGTATATATACATACATATACATGTATGTTTATTTATGTACATATATATGTATGTATATATAAAGTGAAAAAAAGGTTAAGTATGCGTTGCAAAACAACTTTTGTACTTCAAGGTTGTTCTTTAGCTCATAGAATTACAAAAAAAAATCAAAAAATAAATTCTAATCAGACATAAATAAATAAT